CATAGCAGAGTTGTAATAAAAGGATAATATAAAGAGACAGCCAGAAAATAATAAATGACGATATAACCAGATCTGCAGCAATTCAATAATTCCTTCCTGATCTAGTACTAGTTAATCATAGATCCAGATCAATCTACCTTGCAAAAAGAGCAGTAATCCCCAAAAGGCATGGCATTGAAGGAACAATGACAGCGAGAAATGCCATCCCTAGCCAATAGAACCATGGCACTATGTCACAGCTAGATGAACTGCGTTGAGAGCCTGCATAAAATATCTGCAGTTAGATTGGTGCAACAAAGGAATCACCAAATGAAACTTTTCATTTAACTCGACAAACCTTTTCCAGAGTCATAATCGGAAGAATCAAAGCGATTATGATTAGTTTGATTCCCTGTCGACTTTCCCCATTGATATATAAAATTTAGATAACTCCCAAATATTATGAAAAAAGTCACAAAAGTCCACTCGTACATCAGCAGTAAGCCTGTCCATGGCATTACTTGATGAGGAACCAATATAAATGAAAGACCAAGAGATAGCGCAGCAGCCACAAAGCAGATAACAACAGAGATTGCACCCAAATGAGCAGGCAGCTTGGAATGTGCACCGGTTGAAAACTGTCACGAAGTAAAAATGACATGAGAAATATACAAATGCAAATTTACATCTATTGCACTGCATAGGATCCACATGAATCAAATTGTGAGAACTACACATTGATTCACATACAGTTAAGTAGTTAACCATACAGGCCAAGATCCTACATGCATTAAACAAGCTCTTTTTTTATATCAGCAACAACAGAAAATTTTAATGCTGATCTCCAAAATGCATAATAGGGGTTTCCATAAGTTATTCAATGGGTGGGGAGCACAATTTTCAATTATATGGGGATGAATTGTATACTCTTCTGTGTTTAGACCGTATGCATGCTAAATAATAATCTTCATGAAAACTCATAAGTGTTACATCTGAATCCACTATCTTAGCATCGACTATGTAAATAACTATGAAGCCACTCAAGATGGTTAATGACTTTATGTTGCCCCAAGATAATCATGATCAGAACGTGTCACTCTACCTACAGTTGTCGAGAAGCATGAGATGCAAAAAAATTTTCCATGCCGATGTTCATATATCAATGTTCTGGCAGATACTACATATGGGACCATCCCTTTTTATCTGAGAATTCTTATTTTCATTCCTCGTTACTGAATTAGTTAACACCCTAAAATTCCAGTGTGCATTCTCATAATTTAATTATTTTTCTGATTCACAGCGAGAAAAAAAGCCAACAAACAATGAGGAAGTCAATGTAAAATATGATAGTCCATTGAACTAATTACTTTTCTAGATAATGCAAAAATTCCTTAATGGAAAGTATATAACAAATATATATGAACTTCCTAATAACTTTGCCTTCAGAAATGCAACCTGTTGACTCGAATTGACAAAAGAAGATGAAGCAACTCCAACACCAGAATATGCAGGAATGCCTCCAGATCTGTATCGGTAGTAGATTCGCCTTGCATAATCACATAAGGAACTTCGAGAAAATATGGTGGCGAAATCCTTGTTTATCTGCAAGTCGGAAACAAATTAAGTTATACAAGCAATTTTTTCAGTCAACATCATAAATAACAGCCTGTAATGAATCACTAACCTGAAGAAAGGATCGATAGTAACAGAAAATCAGCAAGAAAACAGGAAAAGCAAATAAAAATTTAACCAACAGCTGGTCATTAGGGTTTCTTCCTCCGCCAGTTCCAGGAAGAGAATCTCCAAGTTGTTTCCGAACATTCTGCAGTATTTGTGCAAGTGGTGTTAACAAAAGTTTTCCGACCATTGATTATAGAATTCTCTTCAAGCAAGTTTTCAATTAACTCGAACCAATCACATTTAATACAGTATAAGTAGCTTAAAACGATTCACGGAAGTTGCAGATAACTTGAAGGAAAATGTTGTAAAAACAATTCATACAACATTAAATAAATCTGATGGCCAATCACCTGCCATACGTCCACTGGTTTTAGAAGCCAAGCTGTCCACCAATCCCAAGGTTTAAGGGGGCCCAGGGTGTAATGAATAACTCTGAGTTCTTTCTCATCAACCATCCACTGGTCAGGAAGTGTAAACGTAAAAGTTCAGCAAATAATGCTAAAAAGAGAACACTTGAAAAAAAAAAGTCAAACTGTTGCAAACATCAGCACTGCAAGTTATCGTAAAGTATGATTTTACAAAAGAGACCATTAAATTAGCAACAAGCTAGAGTCGCTTAAACATGAAAGCGATATAAAAATTTCCCATTAATGTGTTGATCTATATATGACATAGGTCGCATCTGGAGAAATACACACAATGGATAAAGTGAAACAAATCCAAGGCACTCCACAAAATTCCCTCTTTTGTAAAAGCACACATCGGCAACCTAATCATGTTGTTAGATCAAAGTTTTCACTTCTTAGAAACTTGAGCATTATTCAGGATCATTCGGTTGGTGCGGTTTTTTGGTGGTCAACTAGCTCGTCATTTGTTGCTTTGATGGGAAAGGAGATACATGTAATCAAACAAGAACTAAGATGCCAGAATAGAAATCTGTATTATACACTATGCCAAGTGGTACAAAATAATGGATTTTGCCAGGTCTTGTTAGCTATATAACCAGTGATTTAAAAAGCGCTAGACGTCAAGTTCGCAAAATGCCCGAGACGAGCGAAGTGAGACGCCATGAAATATTAAAATATAAAAAATATATAAT